ATGCGAGGCAGCAGCCACTGGAGCTCGCTCGCCTTGTCCGGTCAAAATTCATCAACCGGCTTCGATTTAGCCTGGCGCTCTTATGGCGTTTGGGATACTTTTCTAAATGAAAATCGACCGCGCGCGCGCGTGTGTGTGTGGGTACGTGTGTCTGCATGTGTGTACGTGACTGTGTGTGTACGTGTGTGTACGTGTGTCTGCATGTGTGTACGTGTGTCTGCATGTGTGTACGTGACTGTGTGTGTACGTGTGTACGTGTGTGTACGTGTGTACGTGTGTCTGCATGTGTGTACGTGACTGTGTGTGTGTGTGTGTACGTGTGTGTACGTGTGTACGTGTGTCTGCATGTGTGTACGTGACTGTGTGTGTTTGGGGGTATGTCTGTCGGGAGCGGTAGTGTAGTGGTTAGCGCGCTGCGTTCCGAACCCGGCGAACAGAGTTTGATTCCCGCTCACGGCGAACACCGGTGACGATTATCTAAACCGGTCCTGGGGCTTTCCCTAGGTCGCCTCAGCCCCAAATGAGTACCTGGTGCGGTGTGTAAACATCGCCACTGGGGAGACAAAGGAGGCCGGGCGTCGTGCAGACCACCTTCCTCCTCGTGCGCCGTGTTGGCTCTCGTAGACGCTCGCTACGCGTGCTCCTGCGTGCCGAAATAGGCGCTCGTCGACAGCACTTGCCCCAACAATCCGTCCCTAAGCACGTCCCAACTCGGGATTTCGCCAGGTTCGTAGCTCGCACCAATTGCATCGATCTTCACTCGAGCCAGCGCCGTGGGCGTCGCGTGGGACACGTTGAGCAAACATCGGGCTCGTGCGGCGCGTAACATCGCGTTAAACCGCGCACAGCGGACCGGAGCGCGGGGTCACGAGCTTGGCTGTAACTTTGGGAAACCCCGTGACTTACCGGGAAGGTTACAAACCAACCCCGATTACGTTGCTGTTGCTGTTACGCAAGCGGCCCTACTGGCTTTGCCCCCCCCCCCTCTGCACAGAGGATTAAGCGAGTTTCTGCGTGTCCACCCGCCCCATCTCTCTCTCTCTCTCGCCACAAATGACAAAAGACAGATCCGCCTGCCTTTCCCCGGTCACCCTCCTCTGCCCGCCCGCTGGCCTGGTGACAAATTGTCTCCCCGTGTGATGTCTCCCCCCCCCCCACTACACACCCCCCCACTACACAGCCCCCCACTACACCCCCCCCCCCCACTACATCACCCCCCCCCCCCCCACGTCTTTAATCCGGCTGTGGCGGCCAAACCAAAGCGACTGGCCGCATGTCCGACAGCCTGTCATCACGGCCACGCCGGCCGGTTGCTGATACGTGCAGGCGCTGATAAGACTCACAGCTGATTGATACGTACAGCTGACAGGACTCACCGCTGATTGATACGTACAGCTGATAAGACTCACCGCTGATTGATACGTACAGCTGACAAGACTCACAGCTGATTGATACGTACAGCTGATAAGACTCACCGCTGATTGATACGTACAGCTGATAAGACGCACAGCTGATTGATACGTACAGCTGATAAGATTCACAGCTGATTGATACGTACAGCTGATAAGACGCACCGCTGATTGATACGTACAGCTGATAAGACGCACAGCTGATTGATACGTACAGCTGATAAGATTCACAGCTGATTGATACGTACAGCTGATAAGACGCACAGCTGATTGATACGTACAGCTGATAAGACTCACAGCTGATTGATACGTACAGCTGATAAGACTCACCGCTGATTGATACGTACAGCTGATTGATACGTACGGCTGATAAGACTCACAGCTGATTGATACGTACAGCTGATAAGACGCACAGCTGATTGATACGTACAGCTGACAGGACTCACAGCTGATTGATACGTACAGCTGATAAGACTCACAGCTGATTGATACGTACAGCTGATAAGACCCACAGCTGATTGATACGTACAGCTGATAAGACTCACAGCTGATTGATACGTACAGCTGATAATACTCATAGCTGATTGATACGTACAGCTGATAAGACTCACAGCTGATTGATACGTACAGCTGATAATACTCACCGCTGATTGATACGTACAGCTGATACACTCGCCGATGATTGATACGCACGGCTGATAGGCAGTAGTCGCGTACAGCTAATGTATGCACAGCTGATGAGGATAGCTGGCACATCTGAATTGTACAGGTGACGTTTTACAGTGCAATTCACCTACACCGCCGACTCGTGTTTCTGTTGGTGGAGGTTGATGGTCATCGTCGTGGCGGTTAGAACGGACGGTGATGGTGGTGTGGATTTTGCTGTTGTTGTGGTGATTGTCATGGTTGTGGTGCTGGATGTTGTGGTGTTGGAAGTGATGGTGGTGGTTGTTGTGATGTTGGAAGTTATGATGGTGGTGGTTGTTGTTGTGGTGTTGGAAGTGATGGTGGTGGTGGTTGTGGTGTTGGAAGTGATGATGGTGGTGGTTGTTGTGGTGTTGGAAGCGATGGTGGTTTTTTGTGGTGTTGGAAGCGATGGTGGTTGTGGTGTTGGAAGCGATGGTGGTGGTGGTTGTGGTGTTGGAAGCGATGGTGGTTGTTGTGGTGTTGGAAGCGATGGTTGTTGTGGTGTTGGAAGTGATGGTGGTTGTTGTGGTGTTGGAAGCGATGGTGGTTGTTGTGGTGTTGGAAGCGATGGTGGTTGTTGTTGTGGTGTGGGAAGCGATGGTTGTTGTTGTGATGTTGGAAGCGATGATGGTTGTTGTGATGTTGGAAGTGATGGTGGTTGTTGTGGTGTTGGAAGTGATGGTTGTTGTTGTGATGTTGGAAGCGATGGTTGTTGTTGTGGTGTTGGAAGTGATGGTTGTTGTTGTGGTGTTGGAAGCGATGGTGGTGGTGGTTGTGGTGTTGGAAGTGATGGTTGTTGTTGTGATGTTGGAAGCGATGGTGGTGGTTGCCATGGTGCTGATTGTTTCGGCAGTACTACAGCTGATAAGTACATACGGGGCACTGACACTGTCAACTTTTATTGCCCGAACGCATTTACAGGAATGCCCTCTTTTCAATCCCCACGACAACACGCGGTCAATGCAGCCGCGGTCGATTTGCGCCGTCCCCTCCCCCTCCCCAGAGTGTCCAGGGATGTCATCAGTCTTGTCAAGCCTCCAGGACACGGTGCCGCCTGAGACCACGAGGACCCATCGTGATTCGACTCGCGTGGAGCAGAGAGGCTCGCAAGCTCTAGGTGGCTTTAAATGTCCCTGCCTCCCTAGTCTGACCTCACCCCCACCAACACACAACCTCCCACCTCCATCGCCCAGCTGTGATAAAAAACCACGCGGCCTGGGTGTCGCCACGTAAAATCGCACAGCAACGGCGAAAGCCGGCGCTGACGTCAGCCATCTGTCTCATCACCAAGCCCCATCACCCATACATTACCCAGCATTCGTACTCTCAATCACGCGCCCGTCCACCTGCCCATTACCCCCCCATACTTCACACATCACCCAGCCCTAAAGCACAAATCACACAGCTGTCCATCGTACATCACTCACACCCGATATCGTTCATCCTCTCGGTAACCCATCACCCACCTCTGCTTCGTGCATCACCCATCCGTCCATCAATCAGCAGGACATCAACCACGTGACCATCACTCATTCATCAATCACTCATTAGACATTACCAAGCAGACCATCACCCGCCAGACAATCGCCAAACCCATCCATCATCCACAAGGCCATCATCAACCCACCATCACCAAACAAACCAATCAACAATTATTCACCCAAGCCATGCATCACAACCAGTCCAACGATCGTCCACCATCACTCTCCCGCAGCGAGTTAACGAGAGAAGGTCGACACATTTTCTGAAGTCATCCAAAACGTCTTGGAAGCTTCTTCTTGGTTCTTTCCATTTCCATTCTACGTGACTTTACCGAAAGAACCAAGAAGATGAATCTCTGCAGTCACGAAAACTTTAAATCGAAAGTATTGGAAGCTCTCAAACACTGCCCGGACGCATCCTGACTTCCAATAGCGGTGGGCACCTTGCAGAAGCGCACGTGTCAACACAGAGGTGGCTGTAAGTGCCGGGCAACACAGACCACGTTCTCGGAGCCGCCTGCACTGGCATCAGCAAACTTCTGAGACAACCCAACTCCATGCAAATTACACATCAAGGGAAGCCAATTATTCGCTCACACGACAATTACGTAATGTTAAGGGCACTGCCCGCCTCTGCCTTCCGCCACGTCTGCCTAAAGCGCGGGCAGATCCCTCCGTGTGTGGGCGGTTGTGTGACTTACCAGATGACTAGTTAAGTGACTGGCTGGCTGCCTATGTGCCCGACTGGTTGGTTACCTGGATATGAATGAGTGACTGTCTAGCTGTGCGAATACAACCAACAGGTGACTGCGTGTCACTGCGTGACTCACTGCGACCGATTGGCCGCGTGACCGACTGGCTGGCGAATTGAATAACCGTGCGACGGACTTATCGACTGTCACTCAATGGCACTGACTGTGTGACTGCCTGAATGACTGGATTCATGACTGCCTGGATGAGTGAATTAACTGCATGGTTGCAGCGCGACTTTTTGCGGCATGGCAGCAGCAGCCTTGTACGGACCACCTAATAGCGCGACTGACTGCGTGAATGTCTGAGCGCGTGCCAGTGACTGACTTCGCCAAATGACCGGACCGGCTGCGCGTGCCAACAACTGACTTCGCCAAATGACCGGACTGGCTGCGCGTGCCAACGACTGACTTCGCCCAGTGACCGGACCGGCTGCGCGTGCCAACGACTGACTTCGCCAAATGACCGGCTCCGCGTGCCAACGACTGACTTCGCCGAATGACCGGACCGGCTCCACGTGCCAACGACTGACTTCGCCGAATGACCGGACCGGCTCCGCGTGCCAACGACTGACTGCGCCAAATGACCGGACCGGCTCCGCGTGCCAGCAACTGACTTCGCCCAGTGACCGGACCGGCTGCGTCACCGACCGACCCACCGACCCACCACGTACCATGTCTGCTCGCAGGGTGGCGATCAGCTCATCCAGGCGGCCGGGCGATGCGCCCGGCTTGCCTGCTCCGAGGGGGTCCCTGCGGGGTCCCCGCTCCTCGGGCACGAGGGGGTCCCTGCGGGGCGGCCCGCGATCTCCGGGCGCGGCACGACTGCTCGTCGGAGGCTCTTCGCCCCGCGGCAGGCACCGCGCGAGGCTTTCGGGCATGCGGCGGCCGAGGCGACCCTCCAGCTCCCTCAGGGCTTGCGAGCTCACGCCCGGGGGAGCCGCCTCGTCCATGGGCAGCGACGGGGTCGGGCTGGAGACGAGATGGCGCTGCTGCTGCTGCTGCTGGTGCTGGTGGTGGCTGCGATGGTTGTGGCGGGTGGTGGTGGTGGTGACCCCACGCTAAAGGGCCGGGACTTGCCAGCAGACCCCCATCGGGGGCTCCGAGCGAGCAGAGCCCCGCGGCACCCGAGGGGAGCCCGCAGCCGCGCAGAGCCGGGCGAGAGGAGGAGGCATCGTCGTCGTCGTGGTCGTCGTGGTCACATCGCAAAGACGATGATGCTGCTGCTGATGCTGCTGCTGTTGCTGATGGCACTGATGCCGCTGCCGCTGATGATGATGCGAAACGGAGCTCCGTTGAGCCGCCTTTCCGACGGGACGGTACCGACACCTTCAGAAAATCTCCTTCTACATCTCCCCCCCACCCGTCACCACCTGCTCATCTCTGACCTCCTGCTTCTGTTGTAGCAGCAGCAGCAAGCGGCGAGCAAACGTTGTGTGTGTGTTGTGTGGGATGGAGAGAGAGAAGGAGCGTTGTGTGTGTGTGTGTTGTGAGAGAGAGTCGTGTGTGTGTTGTGTGTGAGAAAGGAAGGGAGGGAGCGTTGTGTGTGTATTGTGACAGAGAGCGTTATGTGTGCGTTGTAAGAGAGGGAGCGTTGTGTGTGTGATGTGAGAGAATGAGCGTTGTGTGTGTGTGTGATGTGAGAGAATGAGCGTTGTGTGTGTGTGATGTGTGACAGAGAGAGAGAGAGGGGGGATGGAGCCGGCTCGCAGGAGGAGGCGTCTCCGTCGTCTGCGCGCTGTAGTTGAGGGGCCGTCCCACGCCCCTCGCGGATGTGACGCCGCGCGCCAGGGACGGGAACAATCGTAGTGACTGCCCCCCCCCTCCTCCTCCCTCGCCGCCGCGTGCGACACAGAGAGATGGATGCTGTGTGCGTGTGTTGAGATACCGCGCGTGTGTGTGATGGGGAGCGGTGGGTGTAGTGGTTAGCGCTGCGCTGCGCTACGCACCCGGCGAGCCGAGTTCGATTCGCGCTCACGGCCACCACCGGGCATGATTATCTGGACCGGTCCTGGGCCTCCCCCTAGATCGACTCGGCCTCAGATGAGTACCTGGTGCGGTGTGTGTAAATATCGCCACGAGAGAGACAAAGGCGGCCGGGCGTGGGTGCTGGTCACCCACCCCTCGTGTGCCACAGTGCCGGCCTTCGTAGGTGCTTAAGGCCGTAATTTTAATAAATATTGTGGGGGACACATCTTCCCCAATATTCAAATATGCAAAAAAATGCCCCCCCTAATATATTGCTATGAACAATATTTAAAAAAAAAAACTTCATAATTGCTATGCTATGTAAATAAAAAACACAATTTGCTAAACCTTGGCCACAATATCTGGACTTGTCTTCATATAACAATGCATAGATTTATGTATATATGATTGTGGTTATGGTTGTACTTTATGAATCCTTAATCTCTGACATTACAATGAAACAGGAAAAGGTAAAAAAGAAAAAAACAGAGCAATGTAATACAATACACTATTAGACATTATTGTAAAAAAAAAAATAAAAAGTCCATCCCATGTGTGAGTGAATTTTTTAATATTTTAGGCAGGAAATTCGTTTTCAAATTTAGATTTTTTTTTTTTTCTGGGGGGGGACCCCTCGATCCCCTGGAAGATTGTTGACTCCATGGCTACGGCCTTGTAGGTGCTACTCGCTAACAGCACTCGCCCCAACAATTTGTTTATCTTAACAAGTCCTGGGCCTCCCCTAAGTTGACTCAACCTTAAATAAGTAGCTGGCGCGGTGTTAAAACATGAGGGCGAGGGAGATAAAAGCGACCGGGCGTGGTGCTGGCCACACCACCCACACTCATGTGGTGAGCCGTGCCGGCATTTGATGTCTGCTCGCCAACAGCACTGGCCCCAGCAGTCTTCAAAAGGCTGTACGGGGAATGTCTGTCTTGGTACACGTGTACATAGTTCCACAATTGTGTAATTGCTCTATTCTGCCGTCACCTGCCACTTTAGAAAAACGTTGCACGTGGGCAAAGACAAAGATCCCTATGTGGCCTTGAACAGACTGCAGGGGCAAGTGCTGTTAGCGAGCACCTATGAAGGACGGGACCGGCACACGAGGGGGTGGGTGGCCAACGCCACGCCCGACCGAAATTGAGGCCCAGGACCGGTTCAGATAATCGTCACTGGTGTTGACCGTGAGCGGGAATCGAACCTGGGAAGTGCAACACGCTAACCGCTGCACTACCGTTCCCCACACTGCACTTGTGCAGGCAGAGCCTTGTGCGACAATAACCACCGGCACCTAAACGTGTGACAGCACCAGCAGGACCAGTGCCATCGCTCTCAAGGGCACTCCTCTAGCACTCGCCAGTAACAACCACAACTAGCACAACTATCACCATTGGGGCAAACGGTGCCAATAGTCCAGCACCACCAGCAACCCACCGTGGGTTTGGCCACGTGGACAAATCCACGATATTCCCCACCCGTGAGCATGGACCTGACAAACACCTTCCTATGAACAATCGTATGATCATCACACATTGATGATGATCAAAGATGGCCTTCAAATGTATTTGCGATGGAGTTGAACAATCGATGCGGCGGTGAGGTCAGATGGTTGCCGAAAAAGCCCTCGTCCCAGATTTTCGCTGCCCCAGAGTCTGGGAGGCATTATTTAGCGCTTAGCATGGCCAAACAAGTGCCGCTGCATAACGGCGTTCCACATCGCACGCACATTCAAGCATTCTTGCTCGTTCTCGTGGGACAATTTGCCAGGAAATCGCGGATATAATTAAATCCACTGTGGGCGCAATTAGCCGCGAATGCTCGCCTGCGCCCCGTTTAAGATGTGTCTGCCAGTGCTGGTCACCTCCCAGTACGGCCCTTAAAACGCACAGTAAAGTGTGCACGTGTTTGTAAATAGGATGGACACAATTACCAGCATACAGTACAAGGAATGCTCATTTATACAACCGGGATGGCCATACTCCTTGAAGTCTGAAGAAACATTTTCATAAGGGTCCTGCTGTGCGATGTTTTGCCAAATATCGAAAGATATTGAAGGACGTTTTTGAATGGATGTATTATTAAAAAAAGACATCAACCCACACAACTCAGGGGAGAACGCGCCCAACATAGATGTTGATAACCTACTTGCTACACTGCCTCGTACAAGCACCTCGCTGGCCCCTGCATGCGTTCATTTCAGGTATATCAAAGGCAAGCGTTGTTGGTATTCCTTATTTTACTGCATCATTCTTGCTATTGTCATCCCGATCACGCACCGCGGATCTCCCTTGTGAAATAGCCGTTAAATGGGCCACACGGGATCATCTGTATGTTAAATAAAAAATTTACTTAAAATGAAAATGCTGCCCCACGCGGCGATGGCTCCACGGGCCTTCGCCACCCCCGAAACTCCACGCGCTCAGGCATCAAGCGCCTCCTGGCGGTGATGCGTCCAAGCGACCCGGAGTAACCCCCACACTCCCAAGTGCTTCACGGGTTGCAGGTCCAGGCCCTAGTGCAGTGGGATGGGCGGCTTAATCCGGTGGCCAACACTAGCCCCAGCTATACATGCAGCAGCACCCCAAGTTGTGGCAGCAGCAGCAGCGTTACCACCAGTAGAAACAACTGCAACAGCAGTACACAATTCATCAGCAGCAGCACATATCAGCACTAGTTCCTCTGCAAATACTGCCCATCCCCTAAACCGGAGGTCGGCAACCAAAATAGCAAGAGCCAATTTTTTTTCGAATTCGGTATTTCAAGAGCCGCAATGCACGTGAATAACGTCACCAAGGAGCCCTTCAAGAGTCGCATGGAGATCCGGAGCCGCCGGTTACTCAACCCTGCTCTAAACCAAGAGCAACTCCATCCTATAGGATGTCACTACAGAATAAACCTCATAGATAGACCAACCCTCCATATACAATGAGAAAGCACACGTGGGCGACACAGACACACGCTTGGGTTCACAATGCCATCAGGACGTTCCATGACAATATTTATTATGCAAAACCCATGGGAAGCATGCGTGGAAAATAATTAAACCACTTCGCAGGGCTCCGTTGATAAAATAGCAGAGACCACAGTACAAGCTGGATAGCACAGTACTGATAAAAACAACGCATGCTTGCACTACACTGGCAAATGAAGACAAAGGAAAACTTCCTAAAAAGCACACAAATCTGGATATAAGCACGGCCTTGCTCCCGAAGGGTGTGCTTATATCCAGTATCTACTATACGAACATGTGGGCTTACAAACTCTGGAGCAGCGGTGCAGATACTCTCGGAATCTCTCTGCATCATCCCAGGATTATTTTCCCACCTCAATCTCATCATACGTGTGGCAACGCACATTTAACATGGACAGCAGAATGTGGATACGGTCGAGACCTGCAAATGTACAACCACAAATGAGAGCTTACAAGGTATTAACAAAGCACCTTCACGATAGCTTCTGTGCTATACAAATGGCTTGAACATCATATGTACTTAGCATCACTTTTTATCAAGCATGCATATTGAACTTATTTCGCGCCGTACGTAACCAACCGTGCTAATCGGAGGTGCAGGGAAGTCTATTAAATAAGACTTTCCAACCAGGACACATGAAGCACGCGACGAAATCTTGGCGTTTCCGTAGACCCTGCCGCTACTGCGGACAACGTTGCCGCTAATGGGCGCCAATCCCGTTCGGCAGTTCCTCTGCAGCGCTGGGGCCATCGGCTTTGCCAGCGGCGGTGACGGCAGCGGCGCTGAGCTGGCTGTGCGTGTTGGCGTACTGAAACTCGCCAGCGGCCTCGTGTTCCCACATGTCGAGCGCCACCTCCACGCTTTCGCGCACCACGCGCTCTGGGTCGTCCCGATACGCGCGCAGGATCTCCAGGCTCTCGGGCGTCGCCACCGAGCCCAGCGCCTCGGCGCACTCGTGCCGCACCATGCCGCTCTCCTCGGCGACGGCCAGACGGGAGGCCAGCGCCGGCACGCTCGCCGGGTGCTGCATCTGGCCGAGGACGAAGGCCACCTCGTGGCGGAAGAGGGCGCTTCCGCACGACAGGCCTGCGCGCGTGGCACGCAAAAAAAACGAGAATGAGATTATACTCTTAGGTCTTTTCGGTAAAGTCACGTAGGTAAAATAAATAAAAATAAGTAATAAAAATAATATAAGAAATGATAGAAATAAAATAATAAATCACGACGTTTCGGAGGCAACACAAGCTTCCATCTTCAGTCACAGCACAATTGCTGTATCAAGAATGAGATTACTCTGCGAGTTTCATCTGAGCCCAGTCTGGAAGCGTCGTGTATCAGAAATGGCATTTGTCCGTGAGCCTGCGAAACAGTGACTAGCAGCACTTGAGTGAATGTCATTGTACAGTATGAAGGGTGCATTCTGACCGAAACGATCTATATACGGTATGAATGATGACCTATGTATGGCACGAATAAAACTGAACAATTAAAACTGAAAAAAAAAAGTTCGAGACAAACGCCATCGTGAAAACGAGACCAATAAAGAATCGACTCCCGAATTAAATCTCGGCTCTCAAATTGCAACAATTCGTCTTATAGCCGATGACATACATTTGTACACCCCTAACATATATCCCCCTCCACCGTCCACTTGCACGGGCTGGTGGGCTGGTGCAACACGCGACAATGTTCACGAACGGGCTCGCAGCACTTGCCGTCGGAGAGCGCCAGCACGGCCTCGTCGCTGGCGACGTTGCGCAGCGCGAACATGGCACGGTAGCGCTCGTACAGCGGGGCGCCGTCGTCCAGGAGGGTGCAGCGCAGCTGCTTCACGTCGCTGCTGGCGGCTGCCGGGACGGGGTCCACCGTGTCGTACGTGCTCGTGCCCAGCCGCTCCTCCTCCGCTCCGCCCGCCGCCCTCGTCCGCTGCAGCCACTCGACGCGCCGCACTGCCAGCTGGCACGTCTCTGCGACCTGCACTCGAACGAGGGCACCACGCTCGGTAAACAAAGTTTTACACAGGCACCGGTCTTATACAAGCAAGCGTTTAACAATTCACCACCTCGCTAGCCACCCCCCCCCCTCCTCCCCAGTCTCATGGAATGTCAAGAATCAGTCACAATTCAACTCTGGAATCTATATTTTTTCGTCTGATTTTTGCCGTATTGTTTGTACTTTCTGCAGTGCCTTGGTTGTGTTGTCTGCTCGTATCTGGTCACATTCAGACCAGGTGTCAACTACAATTATAACTGTGTAATTTGTAAATGAACGTCAATCACAGCATAACCATAGCTCTAATTTCAGCTAGCAATGCTGCTGTAATTATAATTGACTCCAGTTCTAGTCTCACGATTTGTTGTATCACGAGCAAAGGAGTCGATTTCAGTCACTGCATAGCCATCCACACATCTTGCTCTGCTGGTCCCAGGACTCACCTCCACCACGGGATCCGAGGAGAACTCTCTGAGGACGTCAAGAACGTCCGGCGTGCCGATGGCTCCCAGTGCCTCTCCTGCAAGCGGAGAAAACGGCATCAGACAGGGTGAGGCGAGTGAAAGAGTTCGCTTTATTTGAAATCTACAGGAATACGACAAAATATATATGCAGACCGTGCCTATTTCATAAATCTATGCTTATCTATTTCATATGTGGTTATCTATTTCGTTGCTAATATTCTCCACAACGATGTAAATTATTTTATGTTATAGTTTTAATTAAACCTCGAAGTTACAACTTGTCTCAATATTCCCGTGCTATATCCCAGGAGTATATAACAGATGTGCAAATTGTTATTTTGCAAAAAGACTATGACGGGTAGGGTTGAGGGTTAGAGACTGAATTAAGGATAATGACTGGCCCCAGAATAGTTTTTCAAAACGGTATAAACTTGCACTGGGATTCCCAGCCAATCAGCTGCCATCACAGGCTCACCGACACTGTGATGCCCTCTCAATCAGTTGGCATCACAGACTCACCAACACTATGATGCCCTCTCAATCAGCTGGGATGACAGACTAACCAACTCTGTGATGCCCTGCCAATCAGCTGGGATGACAGACTCACCAACACTATGATGCCCTCTCAATCAGCTGGGATCACAGACTCACCAACACTGGGATGCCCTCTCAATCAGCTGGCATCACAGACTCACCAACACTGTGATGCCCTGCCAATCAGCTGGAATCACAGACTCACCAACACTGTGATACCCTCTCAATCAGCTGGCATCACAGACTCACCAACTCTGTGATGCCCTCTCAATCAGCTGGGATGACAGACTCACCAACACTATGATGCCCTGCCAATCAGCTGGCATCACAGACTCACCAACACTGTGATGCCCTCTCAATCAGCTGGGATGCACAGACTCACTGACAGCTGTCCGCCACGTGGGTTAACGCCACGGAGTTTAATGCTGCATGAGCTGCTGCGGTCGCGAGGCAGCATTCGTTGACATCATCCCCAGAATACGGAGCAGTTAAGTAAATGTCATGATTGTGTTTACTGTAATTACACAGCATTACTCCCATTACCAACTCGAAACATGGCCACTGGCCTTAATCTAGCCCTGACCCATTCCGTATTAATGTCTAGCCCTGACCAGACCGTTTATGCCGACTCTAACCCTAAAATCTGACCATAGTCCTGACCCCTAACCGCAGCTCTAAACCCTTACAGCTGACGATAACCATTACCCTGCCTATCCACATCCACCGAATCTACCCGTAACACACGTGGGTGATTGCATAGCATGTTTAAAAGTGAAAACTTCCCTTAAGGCGAGTGAATGCGTCCCGGGGAATGTTAATCTATTGTTTTCTTCATGTACGGCAATACCTTCAGCAGCTAAATGGTGGTCACGACGAGAGGGCGTCAGCTCGTGATGTAGTTTTGCGATTCCTCCTCCTCCGTTGAAGGGCCGCAGACTGACTGCAAGTGGTCGACAATGCGGCCAAACGTCCACCGTTCACAGCTGCCCCAATGTTCACTTTGAGACCGTGAACGCACCGGCTATTTGACCCCGAACACCAACCCCGAGCCTCGCACCGTCGCTCTGACCTCACCCTCCCGCCCCCCGGGCCCCGCGTCCACCCCTCGCTCACCCGCCTCGTGCCGCACGATCGGTCGCGCGTCGCGGTCCCGCAGAAGCTCCTCGAGCGGGGCCTTGGCGGCCGCGTGGCCGGTCTGGCCGAGGCAGAAGGCGGCCTCGTGGCCCAGCAGGGCCGAGGGGTCGCGCAGGGCCGAGGCGAGCCAGCGCACCGCCGCCTCGCCGCCCATCCCCCTGAGCGTGAAGATCGCCCTGAAGCGCGCCTTCAGCGGCTGCGACTCGTCCGCGAGCACCCTGCCCACCTCGTCCACGCTCTTCTCGTCAAACATCGTCGCCAACTTCGCCTCTCGCCTGTCGCCCGCCTCTCTCCACCGCCGCTGCCGCTGTGTGGGTCACGGCCACGCTGGCCGACCGGTAGCAACAGGAAGTGACGCACGTGGACCACGCCCACCCACATCAAGCCACACCCACCCACCCACATCAAGCCACACCCACCCACCCACATCAAGCCACACCCACCCACCCACATCAAGCCACACCCACCCACCCACATCAAGCCACACACCCACCCACCCACATCAAGCCACACCCACCCACCCACATCAAGCCACAGCCCACCCACATCAAGCCACACCCACCCACATCAAGCCACACCCACCCACATCAAGCCACACCCACCCACATCAAGCCACACCCACCCACATCAAGCCACGCCCACCCACATCAAGCCACGCCCACCCACATCAAGCCACACCCACCCACATCAAGCCACACCCACCCACCCACATCAAGCCACGCCCACCCACATCAAGCCACACCCACCCACCCACATCAAGCCACACCCACCCACATCAAGCCACACCCACCCACCCACATCAAGCCACATCCACCCACCCACATCAAGCCACACCCACCCACCCACATCAAGCCACGCCCACCCACATCAAGCCACACCCACCCACATCAAGCCACACCCACCCACATCAAGCCACACCCACCCACCCACATCAAGCCACGCCCACCCACATCAAGCCACGCCCACCCACATTAAGCCACACCCACCCACATCAAGCCACACCCACCACCCACATCAAGCCACGCCCACCCACATCAAGCCACGCCCACCCACATCAAGCCACACCCACCCACATCAAGCCACACCACCCACCCACATCAAGCCACGCCCACCCACATCAAGCCACACCCACCCACCCACATCAAGCCACGCCCACCCACATCAGGCCACACCCACCCACATCAAGCCACACCCACCCACATCAAGCCACACCCACCCACCCACATCAAGCCACACCCCACCCACATCAAGCCACACCCACCCACCCACATCAAGCCACACCCACCCACATCAAGCCACACCCACCCACCCACATCAAGCCACACCCACCCACCATCAAGCCACACCCACCCACATCAAGCCACACCCACCCACCCACATCAAGCCACACCCACCCACATCAAGCCACACCCACCCACCCACATCAAGCCACACCCACCCACATCAAGCCACCACCCACCCACATCAAGCCACGCCCACCCACATCAAGCCACACCCACCCACATCAAGCCACACCCACCCACATCAAGCCACACCCACCCACCCACATCAAGCCACACCCACCCACATCAAGCCACACCCACCCACCCACATCAAGCCACGCCCACCCACATCAAGCCACACCCACCCACCCCATCAAGCCACACCCACCCACATCAAGCCACGCCCACCCACATCAAGCCACACCCACCCACCCACATCAAGCCACACCACCCACCCACATCAAGCCACGCCCACCCACATCAAGCCACACCCACCCACCCACATCAAGCCACACCCACCCACATCAACCCCCACCACGCTCACCAACCCCCCACCCACCCACCCCCACCAACCTCTACCCACCCCCACCACCACCCCCACCAACCCCACCACCTGTGGCGGCCATCTTGCTCAGGGACAAATCTCATTACGCAAGATGGGTGGGGAGGGGGTGGTAGTTAGGGGGGTAGTAGAGGGAGGGGGACTCTGGCCTCACGTAAGATGGCCGCTGAAAATGCGCGTCGCGTGTTCGTGACGTGTGCCCCACAGCGGCTGTTGACGATCGCGCTGCCCCCTCGCTGATTGCGGCTGGGCGCTAATTGAGGAGCGGGTGGCCTTCATCCCCGAAATCGTCGATCGCCGCTCAACTCCGCCGCCTCTAATGAGTGAACTCCACCGCTGCCGTCCGTGTGAGCCCCGGCGCCTATCGATCCACGCTGTGGCTACAGCCGAGAAAGCAGACAGGGGGTGGAGACGACGCGGGGTCCAGAGTCGTTGTTGTTGTCGTTGTTGTTGTGCGGGGGACTTGGGCCGGTGATCGCGCCACGTGTCGTCTCGTGAAGGTAATTCTCAACGTTACATTCGTATGTCACATTGCCGTACGTGTACACATACTGTACACTGTGTACATGTACAGTGTTGTGTGTTCAGACACTGCTGTGACGAGGGCCTCCCCACGCCGTTTGACCATACTTCACCGCCGCGGTCAATGCGGACACAACAATAGCCTTTGTGCACTAGAAGCACGGTGCAGCAGTCGGATTGTTGTTGCAAGTCCTACTGATGCCTGCCCAGCTGCCCGCCAATTAACACAACGCGTGCAAGGCGATATTGCACCCCGCCTTCACAAACACCGGCACCGACCGGCGTGGTGAAGTATGGTCAAAACAACCTCAGCGTGGCGTGACGAGGTCTCCTCATCCAACCTAACTCTGCTGCCTCACGAGTAACGTGAGGCAGCAGAGTTAGGTTGCAAGATAAATACGCGAGAAGTTAAAGTTTCCCACGAACGAAAGTGAAACAAACTTTTTTTGTGGGGGGCATTGTTGGAGGGAAACGCATCGGAGTGTTCACGTGGGGTCTGGCAGCAAGAGAGAGAGAGACAGAAGCGAGGGGGGCAGTGGCTTCAGCAGAGTGCGTTTGGTGATGAAAGGCAACGGTGTCAAAGGAGAAAGTTTTCCAGAAGTGAATCTCACCTGCGATTTTTATATGTGGATCGTAAACATGGACACTGAGATGTTACACGTTTTTTTACAAACTAAATCTGAAAAAGTACGTTCGGAAACATGGCGAGGTGCATGCCGAGGCAGAAATAGTCAGAAAGAGGAACACATGGTTTAAAGAACAGGCAAGTTGAGGAAGTGCGCCTTTTGGCGTCATCTGGTCCAACACCATGTGAGACTAGGCTCTCAAGAAAGCTGTCTCGGGTGTGGACCAATCAACTTCAAGGACAGTGCATACATTATCAGTTATGTTTTTTGTTTGCATTCCGACTGCAGGTATTGTGGTCAATGCAAACATGGCTTCTTGTAAAAAAAGGTGTCAGTTTTTTTTTTTGCCAGATAGAAGGGTAAAAAACCAATTATCAAGTTGAAGAAGGTCATTGACTGTTCAGAAAAGCCAAGTGGGTTTGGGTAAGAACACAGCGTGACTCGAATGGATGATGATCAATGGACACGCAATGAGAAATGTAGAGTTTGACCACCGTGGACACGATGGAGTGGCCCGACCGGTGAACGAGAAGTTTCCAAGTGCCGGTCTGCGATTACAGCAGCGGTTTTCATACGGTCGGCGATTTTCGTTGTTTCAGGACGTACTGGGCCCACCAAAGTCACGCAGTAATGATGAGTGGTCCGGTCGACATGTGCGCCCCGCACTCCCCAACGCTGGTGCCCATAATGCTGGATGTGGGCTCCGCTGACCCCCTGCAAGCTGCCACCCTCGCCTACTGGGACAACATCCTGGGCCCTCGCGTGCACAACCTCTGGCTTGTCGGTAAGTGCAAACATTCGGCCCGGCTGCTTCTGTCGGCCCTGGCCAGACTAACAACTGCGTTCCCAGGGACAATTTAAAACAGCACCGGCCTGCTTCACAAATCATGGAGAAGCGGGCTTTGCCTGAGTTATCCGATTATATATTAAATATTTGATCACTCGATAGAATACAGATTATTCAGCTAATCGGAAAACACGGAAAATATTGTCGGGGTGAAAAAGCGTGCCCCTCTGTTCGCCACGTATGCCGCTGGAAGTAACTATGTACGTACATTTGACTTCCTTCACGCCGTACGTAGCCAACCGTGCTAACCGGAGGTGCGGGTGAAGGACAACAAACTAAACGCACCCAGAAAAAAATGTGTGCCTTGCAGTGCGAATTGGCAGAACGGAGCGCCTCTCTTCATTTTGTTCCCCTTTGCGCAGGCGACCCGGCGTCGGATCGCGACGTGATGCGCGAGTCGGAGTTCTGCCTGCTGTCGACGCACACCCTGAACGGCGAGGTGCTGCGCAGCGCCCCCGACGGCGCCGCCGACGTGAAGCTGTACGAGCTGGCGGAGCGCGGTGCCTGCGTCTCCTCGCTCGTGTTCGACGCCCCGCGCTGGCGGGGCCGCCAGCAGCAGGGCGTGCTGGCGCTGGCGCTCGTGATGAGGCTTGCGCCGCGCCCGCTGTGCGTGCGGGCGCACACGCTCGCCGCGGCACGGCTCGCGCACGCCACGCGCGTGCTGCGTGTGCTCATGTACAAGGTGCGAAGTGTCGGGATCGCATCCCAACACGCTGTCGCACCGATGCCCCATCACACTGTCGGACCATCATACCATCGCTCCATCATACGGATGTAAAGATGTTCACAATTCGATTATATTGATATTTTTTTGTCTCGTTTATGCATTGTTGCTCACCCCTACCCTGAACGCAACATTAATGTATATTTTGTGCAAATCCTAAACAGCCAATTCTCACATGCAAGATTAGTTTTTTAATCTTGAGCTTTGTAATTGATTTTAATCGATGCATCACTCTATCTTCACGTCTCTGCCACTGCTGTCTTACCTACATCGCGTCATCACCGTCGGACATCTGCTGCTCGTCACGCCGATGCCCATCTCTGCATTTCCCTTTTTTCATGTTCGTGCAGGACTCGGACAATATCGTGCAGTTCTTGACTGGGGAGCTAACCTCCATCGCCAAGCTGTTTGTCTCGCTCAACAGCCACGGCGTGCCTGACAGCATCTCCGTAAGTAAGCAGCTGCAGCAGGTGGCGTGGCTCAACTAATTTGTTTACTTATCCAGACGTCACTGATGAATGCAACCCAACGAATGTGCACGTGTGCCTTTGAAAGTCGTGAATCTTAAAACTTGATTCTCATAACGCCAGTCCCCAGTGATGCTGTGATGTGAATGTAAATCCTTTGTCGCCGACAGCTGAAGGATACGTACTTTGAGGACAACCCTGAGGAAGAAAAACGGAACATTATTTCCAGGTAAGTGCCTTTTAAAATATCATTTGTCCTGTACTTTTATAGCTACCGCTTAAAGTTTATGGAAACACACACCTTTGTCCTTGGCCCAGCATTACCGTGGTGAGGTTTTTGAAG